GTCGATCTTGGCCTCGTTGGATTTGTCTCGTTGAGCCACTTAATTTGACTATAAGCTTGTTATGTTTGGAAACTTTTTGTTAATCTAAATTATGGATTGAACATTCCAAATGCGGTTCAGGTCTTTAATTTGGACTCATTTGGGCTCAGATTGAGTCAATTTTGGTGTCATTGGGTTTGTATTTATGAGACATTCAGTTTGACTATAAGTTTGATGAAATTGGAGTTTAGATGGTCTCTGATTTAATTTTAAGTTTTCAACTTGATTTTCCCTCGAGATTCGTGCCCGATCAACATAAATTTTTGTTGATATATCAGTTGCCCCTCAATTTTCAGATGTCGAAACTTTAGAAGTCAGAAAATACATATCACAAGATTTTAAATTGATCAAATAGAAAAAAATGCCTAAAAATTACTTTCCAAAACTTTTAAAATAACAAAAAATTGAACATAGAAGCTCCATTGAGCTCCAAAAGTGCAAAAATTGGATTTGGAATGTCAAAAAATGATATGGGGACCCCAAAAACGTTCGATTTTGACTGTACAAGTAAAAAATCAGGCTCAGACTAGTGTTGATGCCCAAACTTTTTCTACACAAAGGAGCAGTTTTTCCTAGCCCCATCTGGAAAGGTGCGCTGGCTGTAGCTTTCAAATTTTTTTTTAAAACTTTGCGGCCCCCATATAATTTTTTTTTCAAATTTAGTGCGTGGCAGTATAGCTTCCACCCACCTCTTGTTTTTTTTTTTTAATTTTCGAAATTGGAAAATTGATGGTTTTTTTTTTCAGAATTCTGAAAATTATATTTGGGGGCCCAAAAATTTTAAAAAAAATCTAAAAAATTCAGAAAAATTTTAGAAGTATTTTTTAAATTTTAAATTGATTCAGAGGAAAAAATTTATCCCCTTTTTTGAACTGTTTCCACCATTTTTGTCTTATAAATACCCCTTGGTGCTAGGAAAAACTGCTCCTTTTTTTCTTCTCCCTCTAACTTTATTATAGTTGAGGCCTTCAAGTATTTTTTCTAAATAACATCCCCTACTCATATTCAGTATCCACTTTTGTGTGAAAGTTATACTTTTTAAGCCTTTCCTTCCTTCCCCACTTTCCTTCTTGTTTAAGAGGATTTCCATTATTTTTAATAGGTGGCATCCCCAAACCAAATTCAGCACCCCTCTTTAGTGTTGAAGGAAAACTTTCCTTTTTTATTTTATTTTCATTTGGTTTTTTTTATGTTAGAGACATTCCACTGTCTAAGATAGGCAAAATTTCCAAATCAAGCTCAGTTCCCCTCTTTTGTGTAGAAGGAGCTTTCTTCTCCTTCCTTTTTCTTCTCTTATATTCTTCTTCTTATATTAGAGGCATTCTACTATTCTAGATAGGTCACATCCCCTATCGAGTTTCAGTGCCTCTCTTTTGTGTAGAAAAGTCATGATGAGAGCTTAAGATGATGAGGGTTGATATGAAATGATGGACCAACGACGGGCATCAGATGAAATATTGATGATGGTGGTGATCAAGTAGCATTTTGAAAAAGGTAATATGCATCCATACTGACATTTACAGACATCAAACATCCCTTATAGAAGGGTCGAAGTAGTATACCCTGTCAATATTATGGTGACACACTAATACTATTAACTGAGTGGAGGCTAGATGATGATCAGGTTATAACCTTTCTTTGAAGAAGAAGTTATAGAAGATGATTCAATGTGCAGTAGAGAAGAGGTCACTTGAATCTACCAAGGATATTTGACCGTTTTAAAGTTATTTGTTGCTTGATGTTATTAACTTGTACGAATGATGCTAATATACTTTTAATTTTAGCTTCTTATAAAAATGAATGTATACCTAAACTTGATGTGGAATCTATGTAACTCCAATAATATTATATATGAATATGAGATTATTGTATAAGCCCAATACTTATTTCTCACTTAAAATGAACTTATCCACCAGAGAAATTTTCTTGTACATTTTGATGCTTTTTAGTCTGCTAAGATCTTTGTATAACTGCACCTTTTGGGGCTTTTTAGCCTTATAAGGTATTTAAATAAGTGATGACCCTGTCAATCACTTACTTTCATGGAATCTTTCAAAAGAGAATATTATTTGCTCAGAGCATTGATCTATGATATTAATAAGTTAAGTGAAATCCACAATAGATATTTGACCTATAGGAGGTTTCTTATTAAAGCATTATTCGATGACATCAACTTCAATGAAATAGGAAGAGAGAATCCACAAATGATATATGACCTATCCAAGGTTGCATGTCAGAGCATCGCTTGATGGTGTAAACATTTATGGAAGTGGTCGAGATAATCCACCAAAGATATATGACCTATTTGAGGTTATACATTAGAGTACTACTTGATGATATTAACTTATATGAAAGAGGTCAAGAGAATCCACCAAGGATGTATGACTTATCTGAGGTTATATATCACAGCACCACTCAATGATATTAACCAATATGAAAGAGGTCGATAGAATCCACCAATGATGTATGACCTATCTGAGATTGTATTTCAGAGTATAACTCGATGATGTTAACCTATATGAAAGAGGTCGAGAGAATCCACCAAGGATGTATGACATATCCAAGGTTATATATCAGAGTACTGCTCTATGATGTTAATCTATATGGAAGAGGTCAAGAAAATTTACCAAGGATGTATGACCTATCCGAGGTTGTATATTAGGGCACTTCTCAATGACTTTAACCTTTATGGAAGAGATCAAATCTAATCCCCCTGAGATCATCGTCACTCGACTGCATTGCTCAATGACTTTGACTTGATATAATAAATATAGATCATATAAAATAAATTACATAATGAGACTTGACATAATCATTATTGATATGTTCATTTGGTTGGCATGATTATAGTTGGTGAGCAATAGTACACGAAATGACTATAGTCGGGTGACGGTGGTCGAAAGGACTATTATCTTATGACGGAGGTTGGACGGACAAGAGTCAGTGGGCAATGGAGGTCATAAAGACCATTATCTAGATATAAAGGTTTAAAGAACTATAGTCAGCAGACGATAGTAGTCATAAAGACTATTGTGAGAGGGAGACGAAGGCTGGAAGAGCTATAGTCAGTGGGTGATAGTGGTCATAAATACTATTATCTAGCGACGGAGGTCAAAAGGACCATAGTCAGAGGGAAGCAGAGGTCCAACATCAATCGGTGGCCATGCAAAACTCAATCGTTAGTTGGTGATTGGGCAGAAAATTGATATTAGTTGGCATTCAGGCAAAAGTCCGATGTCAGTTGGTAGCTGGGAAGAATCTAGCTCTAGTTGGTGGTCAGGCAGAAGTCTAACGTCAGTTGGAGGTCAGGCAAAAATTTGACGTAAGATGGTAGTAGGGCAGAAGTCCGCACTTAGTTGGCGGTCGTGGAGAAGTCTGACATCAATTGCTGGCCAGGTAGAAATCCGCCGTCAGTTGGCGGTCAGGCAAAAGTCCTATATTAGTTGGTGGCCAGAAAAAAATCTAGCATCAGTTGGCAGTCAGGCAGAAGTCTAACATCAATTGGTAGCCGGGCAGAAGTCTAGTACTGGACAAAAATTCATAGTCGGGTAGAAGTCCGACGAAAGTCCATCAATGGCTAGAAGTCCAGCAATAAGCGAAAGCCCAATATCAGGTAGAAATCTAGTGATTGGTGGAAGTCCGGTGTCAAGAAGAAATCTGATGATGGGCAAAAGTCTATCATCGGTCGGTGGCCAGGAGGTGGTCGAGGAGGAGCTTGGTCGCAAGAGAACTCTTCCTTCTCTTCTTGTTTGGGCCTCCTTCCTCCCCCTGCCATGAAAAATTAGGGGTCTATTTGTAGTTTTCTGAGAGTGACATGACATGTAAATATGAGGAAGATCAAGGGTAAATAGAGAGTGGTTTGAATGGATGACCGTTGTTGAATCCCTTGATTATGGACTATTTATTTGGTATTTAAATGTTTTAATGATATTAGAATTTGACAATCTTAGGCTCTTTGGATTTGTCTCGTCGAGCTGCTCGATTCGATTATAATCTTGTCACATTTGGAAACTGTTTAGTAATCCCAATTATGGATTGAACCTTCTAAATATGCTTCAGGTCTTTGATTTGACTCATTTGGGCTTGGATTGAGTCGAATTTGGTTTTGTTGGGTTTGTATTTTTGAGACGTTCAGTTCAACTATAAGTTTGCTGAAATCAGAGTTCAGATGATCTCCGATTTAATTTTTGAAGTTTCTAACTTGCTTTTCCCTCGAGATTTGTGCCCGGTCAACATAATATTTTGATGATATATCAATGCTTAATAAATAAAATTTAGGGGATTTACATACATACCAATTTATTCCATGCTATTTACATATCTAACACCCTTAACATTAATATTACATGCTTACTACCCATTGATTAAATTTGGATGTATGGATGAAATATTAAAGTTTGTAGGATGATATGAATGATATAAATGAATTATATGAGTGATATATTTGATATTAAAATTGTATATGGATGGTACACATATAATAATAATATTTTAGGTGTTAGATATGTAAATAACATAAAATTAAGTGATATGTATGTAAATCTCCCTAAAGTTTAATTTTGAATACATTGAATTCAATGTGTTCTTTCATATGAAATCTTATATAACATGTTATATGCATTATTTAAAATTTTCCTATTATAAGTTAAATAAAAAATTACAATAATTTAAGAATTGTCTTTTTAGAGAGGGTTGTTTTTTTAGAAGTTCTTAAATGTTTATTTCTTGACTAATTTAAGAGATACCAAACTAACAGTCCATATATATATATATATTCAATCCAATTGGATAATTATCATTGAATCATCTATAAAAGATTATAACACTTTTGATTTATAATTTAATTTATATCTCTGAATTAGGACATCTTTTGCTTCAAAAGAGTACAAAATAGTAAATTACAAAATTGGACTAAAAAAAGCTAAAGTTAAGCTAGAATCCCAAATACTGAGCATATGAACTCAAATAGGTCCAATATAATCACCTAAAATAGTTGCCCCAATATTAAACTCTTCTTCACTTTGAATCCATATAACGCTGAGAACTCTGAACCTCACCTTAGTTCCTTTCTTCATGTATGAAAGTCCATTTACTTTTAAGAACATTGGCTCATTAAACGGTCTGAATTCGTAATCTTCCATCCTTATTTTGGAGAGAAAAATGTTCTTCATTGGCCCAGATTTGAGAATAATGCCATTTTGCTTAATCTCAGTTATTGTGCCAATTAAGATCTCACCCTTGCAAGGCTTCATAGTAGTGTAACTAAAGTTTATTGGTAACAAGACTTGATATGAAACATGATCAATGTGCATTGTAGAAATTGGGCTTATACCGGTGACTGCAACACAATACCCGTTTTCCTTGGACGTTTTTTCAGAAGTACTTTTATGATGGAGGTCAAGGAATATAATATCATCTTGAGTGTGAGCTCCGGAATTGATAACACTAAAAGGGATAGCCACCTCAGCATTCCTTTCAATCTCCAAGAACACCATCTTTAGCAATATCGCGAATGGCTAAAATTATAAGAAGAATAATTCATAAGTATTATATTGTAAGGAAGTTTTTGTGCTTAGATGCAAAAAACTTACGAAAATTTATAAATGCATATGATATAGTAAAATACAAATTTAAATTAAAAACCAGGAAACTAGTCATAAGTGAGGTACATCTTTCCTAATGCTTTATAGTTGATTTTGTTCAATTTTAAACAAGTATAAAATGACACACACATACACACATCTATGAAACTAAAATAAAAATTTAAATTAAGGCTCAGATGATAACTCACAAAATTCTCGATCTATTATCAATGGCACGATTACAGACTTAGGCTCGACAAAAGGCTTGATTACTAATAACTTTGGTAGAGAGTCTAGAATTATTATAATCTTACTAAATTGAATAATCAGTTGACACAATAGTGCCTATTTATAGGAAACATAGAAGAATTATAAAGGAAAAAATTAAGAATGGGGATATTGTATCATAATAATGATTATAGATTCATACTATAAATATTTGATATGAATTTTATAATTATATGAAAATGAATGCTTTTAACATATCTAATATTAATATGGAAATAAGTAATTCCAATATCTCTAAAACTCTTATCATGATTATCAAATTAGAATTGCATGATAATGAAAACCCGACAATTAGATATGCTTTAAAAAAATTAAAACCGACTCTCGGGCCTACACATTAATTTAAAATAAAGATTACAAGTCCTTTAGAGGGATGAATAGCTTGCTAGTACTTGAAAGGGCTACATTCAAAACAAAAATAAAATCCTAAGAGCCATAAATCACTATCTACTAACAAGCACAAAAAAAATTATAGGAAAATCTATGAGAGGCCAGGAGCCATCAACCAAAAAATATAGGTCGATAAAGATTTATAGAAATAATAGGAGTCAAAACACCAAATGGATTGAATGCGTCTGTTGACCTCATTTTTGTATGAGGTCACTTGGACAAATCCTGACTCCAAATCAATTTAACCTATAAACCAATCTATATTCTAGGATCTGCCTAGACTCCAGACTTTAGGATCTACTTGTGAAACCCTTAAATTTTCAATTTATGTTAAAAAAAAAAAATTGTGCTGTTAGTACGGGACGAACCTTCTGGACGAATTGAAGAAATGTTGAAAATCTGTATGGTTAGTATGGAGGAACTGCTAGTACGAACAGAGAAAATATGTATGTTCGTTTGGACGAACTTGGAACCGTCGGGACGAACCAAACAGAGAGCATCGTCGAGGGACGAAGAAATTGGAATTTATTTTTGTCTGGACGTTTTGAGTCTACAGAAGGTCGTCCCGGGACGATCGGACATCGTCCTGGACGATCCTGCTTGATAAATATCTGAATAGTCTCATTTTTTAAGAGAGAGAAAGCTGAGGAGAGAGAAAAATGAAGAAAGAGGAAGAAAAGTGGATTTTTGAGCGACTTCGACCCGTTTTCATCCATCGCCGTAGTTGGAAAAGTTGACCGACTCGAGGTAAAGCACATTATGCCTTTCTCAATTTTCAGAAATATGATTTTCGACGGATTTTCTGTTTCAAATTCATTTTCCATTAGCGAAAATCTGGTATAACTTTGCACCGGTAAAACTTTTACCGCGTAACTTTTGGTATGTTTCTGAGATGATATTTTTGCACGTTTTGAGTATTTTATAGAAGATTTTTATTGGATATTTTAGATTCTGCGGCATTTTAATTGAATTACGAATTATCAGGATGTTGAAAAATGTTTTGTTAGTACAATGAAAGTCTTATAATGTTGATGTGTATATTTTGTAGTAATTTGGTAAATTTCTGAATATGTGAATTTTGTGTAAATTCTGTATACTGCCGTTATGCCGCTCACGAATTTTTTGAAGTATTAGATTTTTCTAATTTGAATGTTTTGATGTGCTGTGATATCAGAAGGGAGTTATAAGGGGCCGGAATCCTTTGTGATTCCGTTGTCTGGGTTCAAAAAATCTGAGAATCTGCAAATAAGTTTTGTTATAAAAATTATGATATATGATATTGTTATGTTATGGTGCTATAAGCACAAAGGGAGACATAAGGGGTCGGAATCCGTTGTGATTCCGTTGTCAGGGTTGGAAGGGAGATATAAGGGGCGAAACATTGTGATTTCGTTGTCAGGTGCAGGGAAAGGAGATATAAGGGGTTGAACATCCGTTTGTCTAGGTTAGGAACCTGATATGAATTATCTGATATGAATGGGATTTATCTGATTTCGATTTCTGTACGATTCTTGGTTATTCCTTACGTCTGTCTGCTCTGTGAATTGAAAGCTTTATGATACTATTCTGAACTTTGATTTGAAATGAATTTAGTTTTTCTGTATCAGTAATTTGATTCTGTTGATCAAGTCTCGTGTATTTAGTTGATTATAGATTATGTACGGCTATTTGAATACTGCTTCCAATGTATTTTCGATGTGTATTTGGAGATTTTGATGAGTGTTGTCTGCTGAGCTGTGTTAAGCTCATCCTTTTTTTCTGCATTGTTTTCGGTTCTGGGAAGAGGAAGGATCTTGGACTAGAAGTTCTGTGTCTGATATGAGATTAGGTATTTTGTACTTTTGATTTTTTGTACAGTCATGAATTTTTCTATTTTGTTCTACTATTTCTGTCTGAAGCCATGGACTGTGTTTATATGATATTTTGCTGAAAGAAATATGGATGAACTGTTCTGTATATTTGGATGTTTATAGTAGCTCTGTGTTTTTGTATGTTTTCTAATTTGAAGAAAGACTAAAGCAAATTCCAAAGCTAGATCCTGGATTTTAATTATTTTTTGTCCGCAGCCCGACGTGAAGGTTTCATTCCGATTAGGTTGGTCGTGAAAAACTTAGTGTATCAGAGCAATAGTTTTAGAATTTTGATTGTTAAGACAGAGCTATAGGAATTGATCTGTAAGTCTGTCGGGGTAGTTCTGGTTTGTCTGGTCTTTTAATATGTTGTTTATGTGCATAGTTTTCTGTGTGATTATGGATCTGCCAGCCAGATATGACTGATGGGCAGAGTGTTTCAGGCAGCTCTTGTGAACAGTTCTGCCTCAGTGATTGATTATGAATACAATTTGCAATTTGCTATGTTGGTTGCTAGATGATGAGCGAGACTCAGAAGAGAGTTTTCTGCTGTTAGATCTGAAGACGTAAGATAGACATCTACAAATGTTTCTGAGATTGAATCCTTCGAGGTTTGAGGGCACAGTTGAGCCCAAAGCAGTTGAGGATTGGTTGAGGAGGTTGGAAAAGACATTTGACGCATGCAATGCCCTTCTGATAGGAAGGTACCATTAGCAATTTTTTCTGTGGATGGGAAGCAGAGCGCTGGTGGATGAGCCAACAGGAGAGAAATTTCAAGGTAAACTGAACTTTTTGATTTCTTGGAAGAATTTCTGAATATTCAGATCTTGGTTTAATACCACCTTTGCAAGAACAAAATGTAGGGAATTTTCCGAGGTTAGTTCAAGGGAGTAAAACAGTATGCAGTATTGAGACAGATTTACTACTTTAGCTAGATATGCTCCACAATTAGTGATACTTCAATTAGTGAGTACTTCTGCTGAGAAGTGCTACAGATTTCTAGGGACTACGAGATAGTCTGAGGCAGTCCCTGTGCCATTTCACATTTATGATTTCTCTGAGCTTGTGGAGAGAGCTCGTCTGAAAGAGAATGATCTAATGGCTACTCAGCAGGCGTGGAACTGCTAGTAGGAAGAGGTTTAGTAGTGATGTTTCTGGCAGTGGTTTTCTGGAAAGAAGAGGTTTGTTTCTGGAGACTCCAGGAGTGATATTCAGGATCCTCTATAATTTTGGTATGGAAGTGTGGCCAGTTCTGGGTCAGTCAGTGGGGCACTTGTCTGTCAAACTTGTGGACGATGACATTTTGCCGTGTTACAGAGACTGGTCAGTGTTTCAGATGTGTCATCAGGATATCAGATTGTAAGTGTCCACAAGCTGGGTTTGTATCGACGTTCTGAGTCTAGATCTGAGGTTTGCTAGATCAACAAGAAGCCGAGGACAGTTCCTCCATGTACTATTTCGAGGGTCATCTATAGAGCGTGGTTTGGGTTCTGTGGCGAGGAGACCACTAGTGGTAATCAGAGGGAGCCTAGTGGTTCTGTGGCTTCAGCTCCAGTTCAGCCATCTGTGTATAGTTTGAATCAGCAAGAGATCGAGATCTCCGGATGTGGTGACAGGTACAATTTATATTTCTATCATCCCTGTCATGTTTTATTTGATTCTGGAGATAAGTCATTCGTTTTTGTCATCAGCAATTGTTTGATGCTTTGCATCTGGATTCTATTTTGTTACCGATTTCTCTTTCTATTATTCTGCCGGCTAGAAGAAATTTGATCGCCCGTCAGTTTTGTTTTTGTGAGATTGATATTTCTGGCAAGAAGTGAAAATCGAGTTTGATTTTGTTGCCAATTTCTTCTTACGATGTAATTTTGGGTATGGATTGGTTGAGTCTGTATGAGGCTCAGATTGACTGTTTGAAGAAACAAGTGAGCTTGCTTATGGATGGCAAAAGATGTGTATTTCAAGGGTTAAGAGGAGTTTTATCCTGTTTGATTTCTATGTTGGAAGTCAGAAGATTGTGGAAGAAGGGTTGTACTGTATTTTTAGGATCAGTACGGGATATAAATATAGATGAGGGTTCTATTTCTGATATCCCAGTTGTACGAGACTTTTCAGATGTATTTCCTGAGGAGTTAGTTGGATTATCTCCGAATAGAGATGTTGAGTTCTGTATTGATGTTTTTTTGGGTACAGCTCTGGTATCAAAAGCTCCATACAGGATGGCACAAAGAAACTTTCAGAATTAAAAGTTCAACTCCAGGAGTTGGTGGATAGAGGATTTGTTCGCCCTAGTATTTCTCCTTGGGAAGCACCTGTTCTATTTGTGAAGAAGAAGGATGGAACAATGCGTATGTGTGTTGACTACAAAGATCTAAATAAAGTCAC